AAGCAGTCCTAGGCAAGGGACAAAGTGCGGCGCGGTGGTGGCGGCAGCGCCGCGTCCCGGCTGCTGCCCGGGAGCCGGTGCCCGGCGGGCGGTGGCGGCGGCGGGGGCGGCTTGTCCTCAGCCGGGCGGCCTGGTGTGGGCGGCAGCGGCGGGCGGTTGGAGAAGGGAGACGAGGAGCTCGTGCTGGAGGGGCGCAAGGAGCCGCCAAAGGTGGCGTTCCTGCTGCCCGGGAAGGGCGGCGGTGTGGGCCCGATGCTGGGCTGCCGGCTCACGGCCGGCACCGGCGGCGAGCCGCGCGCGTGCAGGCTGGATGCCACAGGCCGCGGCGTGCTCGGTACTGGCGGCGGGGGGCCGCCGTCCGCCTTGGAGCCCACGTCGGGCCGCGGGGGCGGCAGGCGGCTTCTCTGTGGCTCCGGAGCGGCACTTCTCTGGCTGGAAGGCGCTCCTGGGAAGCGCGGCGGCCCGCTTGGAGGCGAGAAGGGCTTGGCGGCCACGGACCTGCCCCCGGGCGGCAGCACGGGCGGCCTGCTAGCCCCGGCATCTGCAACACAAGGCACACGCATCAACAGGCACAGCGCAGAGAAACCAGGCGCCACCTCACCCAAACGAGCTCCGAAGGGCCCAAAGCCAAGATCATGTGAAGACCCAAGCGGGTCTGTCTTGGCATGAGACCCTCAGGTGTTCAGGGTTTGTCACCTAAATGCCTTTTTTTTTCTTTTTAAAGCAATTTTGGTGTGTGCTGTAGAACAATGACAAGGTGACTCTGGTCTCTGTAGCGATATTTAACCACTGCAGCTCAGCTAATAGCTCTTTGCCATCCAAAGCCAGCCTCGCAGCTGAAGCACTGCTGCTCAGTTACGTCAGCAACTTCAGTATTAATACCAGTTCCCAAAACTGAGTGTGACACAGTAGAAAATAGCAACTCTGTCTACATGTGCTGAAAAATTTGTTAGTCTATAAGACACATGGGATTCATAACCCCCTCCAACCTCCGTTGCCCGGTCCTTCTTCAGGGAGCAGGGAATGATACACCCAGAGCCCTTAGGTTGCTGGTCGCAGCGTCTCCCTTGTTTCAAGGGGCACAAATCTTTGTGCAGCTGCTTTGAAGGTCAGAGGAATCCAGGATATGCCCCTGGCTGCAGCACGCAGACCCTGGAGCTAGGTTGCCTCATGCACTACCTAGATGCTAAATGATGCTGCCTTGGTGCTGACACAGGTGTTCTTCCCATTTGGAAAGCAGCTTCTTTCTGTGCACAGAGTAAATCGGGAATCCTCTCAGGGTTCCCTTTTGGTCCTGCACATCCAGAGCAATGACAGGGCCTTTGCAGGTACCAGTTCAGCACTGCTGAGATTCTTAGTTTTCAACAATAATTACAAGGATGGGTGGAAAGAGGAGACTCACCTCTTTGCAAAACTAACCATTAGGGAAAACAAACAAACAGGATTTAAGACCCATTTGCATTTCCTAAGAGCCCTCCTTGTGTCTGGGTACCTGAGGAAGACCTTAGCTTGACTGTATGCTCAAACACAAAAGTGGTGCTAAACATAATGTGGTTTTTAAATAGGAAGCAGTTAATTGTGCTGTTTAAAGGTGTTTGGAGACATTCCTAACCCAAGCAGGTAATTTACTGGTGCTCTATAAACGTTTTAAAGTTTTAAGTAATCTGTCATTTCCTTGCTTGCACTGAGCCTACAAGGTCCTTCTTACCAGCATCTCGACTGGCAGCAGATCTGAGCTTTGGCATTCCTGCTTGAAACAGGCCTCCAAGGCCCGGCGGTCCTCCTCCACTGAAGCCACCACCACCACCAAAGCCGCCGCCGCCACCTCCTCCTCCTCCAAAGCCACCGCCGCCTCCTCCAGGTCCCTTGGGTTCTGTTGGAACACACACATACACAAACCAATCGCAGACAGGAGACTGACCAGCAAACTCCTCTCTTTGATTAGAGCAGCTCTTGTAACTGAGGAAAAATGGAAAAGCTTTCAAAACACACAAAGCCTTCTTCAAGTTGGACCACCTCAGCTACCATCAACACCACTGTTATATCACAGAAGAGGTGATGTAATAGACAGTTACTGTGTTTTATTAAGCCACTCTTCCTTAGTCTGCTGTGGACTAGAAGGCAGAGAAATGGCCACTGTGGAACTAAAACACGTAGGAGCCCTGAAAACATCATGTTGCCTTTGTTAACATCTTTGCAATGTGTAATTCCAGGGGAAATTAGGAGAAAGACTAAGGTGTTCCTCCTCTTGCAGATGTCTCTAGTGTTTACTTCTGGGAATGCATCGACCTCTGTCACTACTGGCATAGTTGCAACACATCTTATTTACAACCACTTATTTACACAAAGCCTAGTGGGAAAAGCGATTTCATTTCTGATTACTTTCCCGTAGGTCCAGAAATGCAGTGACAGAATCATTAGCAGCTAATTTTTCCAATAGGAGGAAATTATTATTTCAGCCTCTCTTCCTCTCCCATTTTTCTCCAATGCCGTCACTTCTGCTGTGATAAAACCGGGAATCTCAAAGGAAAGTGTTTCCACAATTATAAATACATGGAAGGACCAATTTGGAGCATCACTGCCAAATGAACAGGGACACAAGTCAGCATATTTGTGGAGATCAGATCCCAGGCAACGGTCAGCATGGCTGTGGATCAACTGCTTAATTTCTCTGCATCTTAATTTCCACAGCTTTGGTTGGGTAAAAATATCATTCTCTAAAACCTGTGGATGAAAATCACTTCTAATAATTCCACCTAGGGAAAAAAAATGTAGAAGGATTGTGTTCAAGAAAGAATGTTAAACATCAACCTTCTCATGTCAGCTCAGTTCAGCTCTGACTCATGTAGGGTGTGAACCTCTGGAAAATGCTGCTGCTATGTTTTAGTCTTTCATCACAATTTACTAATTCATGTAAACAAGATAATAAACCATGTAATTTTAATCTTATTCGTTAGATCTTCTTTAATCTCCTAAATGCTTTTTCTCCAGCTCTGTAGAACACTTAGAAAGTACTGTACTTACAGAGATAATACTCAAATATTTAAAACCAGGTACAGAGCTGATTGCAGGACCATATCTTTTTGAAACATTTTCTTTTTTCTTGGATCACCTTGCTTCTAGCGTTTGCTTCTTTCCTCATCACCTTCCCACCACAGTCCAGCTCCTAATTGCACAGGCAGACCTGGACCGAGTTGTGACACATTGGCTAATCTGTCTGAAGAAACGTCTCTGCTCCCTGGACAGCAAATGCAGCTCTACTGACATGGCCTGACTTCGTGTCCAGCTCCTCTTGTGTTTCTGTTCCATCTTCCCAATGCTTTGCAGCACATGGGCTTTGCAGGCTCCTCTCAGGACGTGCCAAGATGTGCTGTGAGACACAGCAGCGGTTCAGGCTGTTGGGGAGACTTTTCTCCATCAGGTAAGGAGCGCTGCTGTGCTCTGCTGGAGCACGGTCTGGCAGGCTGAGGTTAAGCCTGGAGGGACAGCCCTGGCTGGGCAATGCATGAGGAGCTGTGGCTCTCAGCTTTGGCCCCGTGTTTCCATGCAGTGGCACTGGGTTCATTTATAAAGCAACGCTGCCATGCAAAAGGCACCTTTACTTTTATGTCGTTTGTGCCAAAGTGGAGGTTTAAAAGTCCACTTTGTTCTCTAGGCTGTTCTTGGTGCTGAGGAGCTTTTCTGTGCATTTGATCTGCTGCACCTTCTCAGTAGAGCTCCTTGAAGGGGTTGTCTCACTTTCTGATTTAGGCAAATGAGAAAAATCAACTATACTTCACAAGAGTCAACAAATTACCACATTTCAGAAGTAATGATTGATTTCTCCGCTGACTTAATCCATGAACAGAAATCATTTTCATTTATACCATTTTTTGGCATTTTACCTGCTTCTCTCATGGTGCTTCATCTACATGAAATCGTTCTCTGCATTCAAACACACCATGCAAGCACGCCGAAGCACAATCGCACTGTGTAATACTCACTGTCTAGAATCGGAGCACTTCTGTCATTTGTAACAGTCTTCTTTAGTTTTTTTCCTTTGGTAATATCAGACAATAAAGCATTTCGCCCTGCTTGCTCTGATCTGCTTAAAGATGGCTTTTCAGTATTTGCCTGCAAAATAAAGTTGAGAAATGGGAGGTAAAGTAAACCTTGATTTCTAGCTACAAAGTTCTGCTCTGTATACACCAGACACCTCAGTTTGTGTTTTAACAGCCCTAGACCTAGTAGGGTGCCACATCTAGTTCTGTGGATCAAGTTATGGGTAGCTGCACTTTACTATTAACAGTATGAATCTTTTCAAGTCTCAGTAAAAGCAGGAACCTGCTTGTACTTTATGGATTGCAACTGAATCGTGATCCTTCATCCTGTTGCAATCTGGAAAGTGTAACATGTATGGAAAAATAAACAGAGAAAATAATGGTATGAGAAGGTAAATTAAGAAGTTTAAATTTCTGCCAACAGTTAGAAATTACTGGAAGAGAACTATGACTTACAAAGTTTAAGATTTGTTCCAGAGCTATTCTCTTTTTACTTCATGTTTTGGTGGCTACAGTTTTCCAAGAACGATCCAAGAAGTGTGTGTGTGTGTATATATATTTTATATATATATACACACACACACACACACATTTTATATATATATATATAAAATATATACACACACACATATACATATGTGCATATGTATATATGATATTTTTGGTCTAGGGTTGGTTGTTCCTGAAAATGTTTCTAATGTCTCAGGGCAGTATTACGGAGGTTTCCTGCAAGCTGCCCTGAGGGGACTAAGGCCAGAGCCAGTGCAAGGGAGAAGGTGGGAGCTCAGGCTGGAGCGATGGAAGGGGAGTGGCAGGTCCAGTTACTCGGGCCCAGACCCGCTGCTGAGGCCTCATGATGCTCCATGGAGGATCCCTGTGCCAAACCGAACACGGGTGTGGGAGGAAGAGGAGGGTGCAAAGCCAGGGTGGCTGCTTGTACCCATGTGGGCACTGGAAAGGGGTGGGAGTAACGATCCCTCTTGTAGGATGGATCATCAGAACCAACAAATATGGAAGAGGATCCTCCAAATGCCTCTTATTCGGTGTATACCCAATATAAGGGCCACATCCTTCGCCTTGGCGCCCCTCAGCGCGGCAAACGGCACTAGGAGAAGGCTCGTTCTGCCCATGTCCCTCCTGCCGAGCTTACCAAGGCCAGGGTGGGGGGCGGCGGCGGCGCCGGCGGCGGAGGCACCGGCATGGCGGGCGGCCGAGCTCCTCCGGGCCTTGCCGAGGAACCTGCGCAGCAAAACAGACACGCGTGACCCACAGACCCTTGTCACCTCTGGGAACACCGGCCATCCCGCTACGGGCCCTCCCTGCAGCCAACAGGCTGACCCGCTGCACTTTCCAGGTCTAATGGAATCCGGTCACGTGCAGCAAAAAAAACAACAAAACGGGATTTCACCTAATGCACCAATCTCGTCCACAGGCAAGTACTGCAAAATAATCCCAATGCTGAACCACCAGCCTTTACTTCAGGAAGGCATCAGCTCTTCCATCAGCGTCCCCAAGGGCGGCCTGAGCGTCCAGCCCCGGGCAAGAGGCAGCCAAAAATAAATGAAGGTCAGCACAAGGCAGGTGCTTTCTGGACAGATACTGCTTGTTGTTGAATACTCGCCTTTGTCCTGCATGCTTTCTCTCATGTGAGACAGCTTCAGTAACAGTGACTGGCCATCGCTCACGCCACTGGTGCACACGGGAGGTAAAAGCCGTGGAAGAGGAACAAGGACTATTCCCCACACAGCTGCACTGTCCTCAGTGTGGTTATCTACAGCAATACACTCTTGTACTTTCTACAGCACTTGGCTAATTTTCATGACACCAAGGAGAACTGTAATAGAGCAGGATCTATTAAATCAGCTTCATGCTGGCGACAGAGAGAGACTTACTTAAGAGACTAAGTAAATTAAAAAAAAAAAAAAAAAAACGAAATTGTCAGTTGCCATTTGAAGTGAGTCACCACCTAAAAAGTCTGCAATGCCCCGAGATGATCCAAGATACGTAAATGTGCTAGAAAAATGGGTTAAAAATACATGTTTCTCTCATCAGATGCCCGTGCTTTAAAAGAAATAGAACACAGCTCTCCTAGGCAGCTGTGAGCCCAAATAAAACATTGCTGATCTGCCTCCCTGAGAAGAAAACTTTCCTGAAATGATGTTTTACCCTCATTTTGCACAAAGCTTTTTGAGAAAAGCGGCTGGGAGAGGGGCTGAGCAGCATCACCTCCAGGCCCGGCTGCTGAGTTTGCAAAGCGAGGGGAGCTGCCGGGGGCCCGAGGCCCTGCAGGCTCCACACGGCTCTGCCGCAGAAGCCGGTTCTCCTTCCTGTTGCTGAGAAAGAGCAAGGGGAGCAAAGGGGAAGCCGACGGACGCGAGGACTTGCCCAGGGGAAACCGCACGGGCGACTCTGCACGGCGCTGCACACACACACAGCAGCTCCCAAAGGGCCACAGCGTTCCTTGTCGTTCCTACCGGCACGTTACTCCTAATAATGAAAACATATCCAGGGAAGCACAAGTTTCATACTCAAGCGATCTTCTTGACTTTTGTTAATTACGCATCATTTTTCTAACTTTCGCTCATTGCACAAAGCTCTGCACAAAGCCCTGTCCTTTGCTGTCCCCCTGTACTGAGTTCAGCATTTAAAATCTGCAACCTATTAAAAGCACGCAGAGCAACGCTGCTTTGTTCTTCAACTTCCTGTTTAAAAAAACAGTCAACAGGAAAATTATTTCTTGCTGCAAACCACAACCATCCTGTTTCTTAACACAGTCTCTTCACAGCTGCAGTTGTCTCTCGCCTAACGGTGCCACTAGGCCATTTCACCAGGCTTTTGATTCCTTCAACCCATTAAAATGCTATAAAAATTAGTGTGCCAAGCAAGCCCCGTAGCCCCTAGCACACAGGTGTGATGGCCTTTTGCAAACACAGAGCAAGGTTCTGCAACAGGCCAAACTCAGGCACAATTGGCCTGAAGTCTAAGTCCAACTCAGTAGAGCTGTTTGCCCTTTAGGTTGGTGCTTTGATATTTTTTGGTGATATCTTCCTACGTAAAGGAATTTGAGGGGAGCTAAATAAACTAGATGTGACATATAAATACAAAGTATTAAGTGGTTCTGGAACCGTCAATGAGCCTTTAGAGGACTATGCTTTATCACCCAACACACATATTTTACATTTCTGCCAGTGTTTAGAGATGAAGTACATAGGGCCAAAATACTCAGCCAGAAGTGCACCCACGACAGTTGAAAGGACAACTAACTCTCCAATACTTAACTGTCAAATATCACTCCTATAACTCCGTGCTGCATTCTAGAGCATATATTTCCCTCAGGAGCCATCAAGAAGAAATATATAGGAGGAGTCAGACACCCCCTCCAAGTTTAATGCATGTACTTACAGTCAAACACATCATTTTAGTTAAATTTTAGCTTAAAGTGTATGCCATGACACTGTTTCGCTCTTACCTTCCTCAGTCTTTGACTCACCCCTTGCCAAGAAACTTAAATAGATACTTCACAGCAAGAATAGGCCTCTGTCTTCAAAGTCCCATCTCACTGTTGCTGTTTGGCCTTTAGATTTCATACAGTCTATTTCTTTGTCTTCCTTTATGTAAGCGAAAAAAACCCGGCACATTCTTGATTATAAATTTGATCAGCAGAAGCCTGGGGGAAGTGTAACAGCAGAGAGGTCTGTGCAGTTACTGCTGGGCTGCCGGGCAGAGCAGCCACGCGGCTCCTCCGCTCCGCGGCCCCTCGCTCGTCACCGAGCCGGGGAGCATCGGCGGCTCTGCAGCTAGAGGGAAGCTTTGTTGATGGGTTGTACTTCAGCAAGGGACTCAGATTTGTCATATATACTATTTCTCATACATGTATTATTTGCTCCTGATTTGCTATTTGGTTAGTAGGGAAAAAAAAATCACATTTTAATAAACAGTCATTATGCTCATTTACTATTAGCTGGTACTATGAAAACTGTGAAATATTAACTGATCCACATAGTAATAAATTTCAATTATTGACTTGATTAACTACTAAGTGATATATTCAATGCTGTGGAATATTGAAGGGCACAAACAGAGAACAGGGGCTAAAGGAATATCAGTACTTTGAAACCTAGATTTTGTTTCCTTGCATGCATTCCAGACAGTGGTGTAAGTTACCACTACTTCCAAAATAATACAGAATTGCAACATTTAGTGACGCTTGGTTCTGCAGACTAATGCAACCAACAAACAGATGCTTATACCAAAAATCGAAGACACCAAGCTCCAAACACCAAGCTTTGTATCATTTGAAATAGAGGGATTTGCACAGCTGGCTATAGCAGCATAAAAATAGATGGGCTTGCACAGCTGGGCACAGCAGCAGCTGCTCTGCCCTGCGTGTGGGCACAAGTGAGAGCCTGAGCCCATTTCCAACCTAAAATGCTTGGTACCTAAAATATACATTATATATATTTTTTTCAATAGTATATTTAAAGAATATATGCTAAAAAGCACAAGTGGTCTCTATGTGGAATGGACAGTGGGAAGAGCTGGGGTGCAACTGCGCTCTTTGCATATAGTCAGACATTTTCAGCAACTGCCAGGCCCCCTTAAACACATTGGGTCAGACAGACAGCTCTGCATGGTTAATCATTTCCTGCATGATTAATTTCCAAGTAAAAAAAGAGGAAGGAACAAACAACAGCAGAAAAAAAAAGACTTGATAGAATTCAAGGGGAAAATGCATGAAGTCACCAATTGAGCTGTCAATTGTAGCCCTGTGCATCACCGCCAAACTTCCAAAACAGTATCGATCCCATTCGTTCAGAAGGCATTGCCTTCTGCAGTGGCAGAAAGGAAAGTTCAAGAAATCTGAATTTGAGGAAGTTAGGCTAGGTTGCCAAAGAGACACATGTGCACGTGTGCGCACTCTCTCTCTCTCTCTCTCTCTAAAAAAATTACTAAGCAAACAAAATAAGGTAATTGGAAAAATGATCTAAAAACACAGAAATATTTCCCATGGGAAAATTCAGTTTTATGCAGATCAAAATATTTTTCCTTTTTTTTTGTAATGGCGTAAAGAACTATTTTGATTAAAAGGACTACTGTGTTGTTATATGAAATCTGTTAGACTCCTTAGGTGCCCTTTGTCCTTTTCCCTGGTGGACTGAGTCCTTTGCTCATCTCCATGCCCCTGGTAGAGCCCAGGAGGCTCCCACAGAGCAGCTCCCTGTCGGACACCTTGGTACGGGAGTGCAGACAGTTTTGAGCCAGAGCAGCATTACAGAATGATGCTCCCACACAACACCAGGACAGCAAATACCTACTGAGAAACACCAGATACTTCTTCTCTTTTTAATCATAGCAAAGCCAATGTACAGAGACCTACAGGTAAGCACACATAGATGTTTCCAAGCCTAAAAGACTCAACCGGGACACTGCAATAAACCAGGAGCACCCTGGGGAGGAGTTCCTGGGTGGAAAGAACGAGTGTTTCTGAGGTGCTACGGCCTGGGTGTCTGGTGATACCCCAGGCCCTGACGGGTGCCGACGTGGCCACACGCACGACCTGGCTGCAGAACGGAGCAAAGTGCCTGGGCCTGGGGGCTCGCAGGAAGAGGGTGCCGCCAAAACACCACCCACACTATTTCTGGGACTGGTAACACCAGTGCCCGGCCTTAGGGACGGCTTCTGGCTGGAAGTGCCTTGGTGCAAAGGTTAGAAAGCTGCTGTTTGTGAACGGCCATCACAAGGGCACGTGCACATCCGTTTTTACCCTGTCCAGAGGAGGCTGTGGCAGTGTTAATGCTGCAAAAAAAGCTGCTTGCAAAGAACTAAATGGTCAGGAGAGAGACCAAGAGAGAAGTTATTTTAGATACTTGAGACCAAGGGAAATTCTGGGCAGATGCTGACTAGAGAGAGAGGAAGATGATTTTGTTTGGGGCTTTTCTATGTTTTTCCAAGAAAAACTCTCAGCAGGGCCTGCAACGAGTGCTACGAGCGGCTCTTTCCAATGAGAGCAAAAGAGGCCCCCTCCTATGAAATGGTACAGGGCACAGCCTGGAGGCTGCGGAGCCTCCTCTCGCCTGCCCGACCCGCAGCGGAGCAGGGCAGAGCAGGGCAGAGCAGGGCACGGGCCCCGCGGGGCAGTGACAAGTGGCCCCGGGCCTGGCCGGGCCGCAAAGGGGCCGGGAGCAGCAGGAGCAGCCGCCG